AAATTTTGCCATCAATAATATAAAACCTTAATGCAGAGAATGATTCGTATACCTTCAAGAGTTATTCCAAGCTGTGCATCAGTTATCTGCCCAGCTTCTACTAAAATATAATTATATCTCCCGACTATAGTTTTCCAGTGGAAATGGCATTCTCACACGATATTGTTTTCGAAAACATTTTGGTCCACGGGAAATGGCGTCGGTGTGGCGTCTCAAATATGCCATAGGTCTATATCTCATAGCAAGCATATGAAGTCTGGCACGTGACAGAAAAATAAAAAGAGAAAAAGAGAAAGAAAATCATCATTAATTTATAACTATTGTAGTTCTACTGAAGTGATTATGTCGTTTGTAAAATAAAATAAAATACTAAATGCCTACTAAGCCACGAGGTGCTGACCAAGCTTCTATTATAATTGTCGACGCAGTCTGAATGGGAAAGTGGCATTGTTAACAAGGACCACACTTACTCGAAACCCATGTCGTGTTGAAAGGCAGTTTGCAACTAAACGATAGCAAGTAAATGTCAAGCAATGCCGCCACATATGCTTGGCTAATGAATAATGCATTGATCACGACATTTTAACATTCATTAATATTATAATTTGAAAATTAAAATCGTAAAAAAAAGTTATTTCACAAATACTATAACCCAACTATATTGTTTACTCCTATTATATAACTCTTACAGTAAGTATAGGCGTAATTACTTGCTAATTGATGTAGAATTTTTTTTAAAGACATGGAAATCAGTAACTACGTCGTCGACTCTGATTTTTAACATGTTACAAACGAGCTTCAGATCTATGCGAACGAAACGTGAACTTTGTGACCTTTTACATTTGTGTGATGACGCATTTACGTTAAGCGCTGGAATCGTGTTCTCCAGAGTCAGGGATTTCAGTTACCACGATTGCAGTAATCAAATTTCTGCTCACACGCCCCCGACTTATACCACTAATTCTGTGCCGGAGAGAGACAATCGCAAGCGATTGAAAGTACGATTTCTAACACATACATCTCTAATTAGACCCATAATTTCACAACCAGAAATCTCCGGGTAATCTCTTTATATTATTGAACCTGATCACCTGAAAAGGTCAGCTATTAATCTGAGCTTAATGGGACTAACATTTTTGTTAGTGTACTTATAGTGTATTTATCTTTACATTAATATTATATAATGCAAAGAATGTAGATAGCCATAACTATATCTTGTTATGGTCCTAGAACCTACTAGTAGTTGGGGAATGTCAACGTATAAAGAAAATATAGGACCGTATCAGAAATGCAGTATACGTGAGAATTCTGATACACGGAGTGTTTTTCCCTCTCAGCTTTTAATACTATGTTAGAGACAAAACGCATTCAGTGTCTATATGTATTAGTCAAGATATGCCACGTGCGTGTTGCAGGTATATGCGGGGTTATATTTGCCGCCGGTTCGAAGGAAGGAGATGCAGATGATAATGTTTGGTTGCGGATCGCCCTTCCCATTATCGTCATCTTCGTCGTCGCCATACTGCTGCTCGTCTTCCTGATCTGCCGCCAGCAGGAAAAGCGGAAACAGATGAAACACTCGCTTCCGCACGATTCTTCGACGTTTTCCGGAAGCACGGAGAGGACTCTTCTGTCCGGAGTCGGTTCTCCCGTCTCCGTCAAGTAGGTGCCGTCGATAGTTATACATGCGTAATGGTCCGGCGCAATCACGACTATATTGCCTTTTCTAAACTATATATATATATATATATATTGTGCGTGTGTGTTTGCGGATGTGTGCTCGTCTGTGTGTGTACTTGTGTGAGCGTGTATGTATGCAAATATGCGCATGCGTGTACGTGTGTGTGTACGTCTGTGTGCTTGCGCATGTGTTTTTCGTACGCAACGCTGTGATCTGTGAAATCTTTGGACGGTCCCGCTCGATTTCTCGATAGCTCGTGTAGCTTTACCACTAGCCTGTGCACTACACTGTGCAGCGTCATCCTGAGCGCATATATCAAGATTGTGCGTAAGATATAGATTTCCCCTCAAAAAAAATTAATTCACTAGCAACAAATTATTCCAGAAAATATATTCCTAGCTAACACCGCCGGCTAAATCTTCTAAATCGGTTCAAATAATTCCCTTGAAATGGATATCGGTGTGGTATCGGCCGAAGGTCAGTATTATCTGGTGGGTGTTGAGATATTATAATGTAGTATATTAAGAGATAGCTAATATTGCCACATCAAGCTAGCCGTAAAGGTCAATCTCCTTTAGAGAGCATCTTTATATATTTCACATTGCTGCAGGCAGTATGCGTTCTTCTAGTATGGTGGCCGAGATGGCTACGGATATTTTTATTCCAAATTCATTTTTATTTTAAATTCATTTTCATTTCAAATTTATTTTCATTTTCATTTTCATTTAAAATTCATTTTCATTTCAAATTAATTTTCATTTTCATTTAAAATTCATTTTCATTTCCATTTAAAATTCATTTTCATTTTCATTTCAAATT